TACCTATTCTGGACATATCATAGAAATGGAATCATAAAATATGTGCCCTTTTGCGTTCTGGTTTCTTTCACTTAGCATAGTGTTTTCAAGGTTAAAGGTTGTAGCATGTATCAGTGCTTCCTTTTTTCATGGCTCAATAATATTCCCCTTTACGAATACACCACATTTTGTTTATCCATTTATCAGTTTATGGGCATTTGAGTTGTTTTTGCTTTTCAGCCATTATAAATAATGCTGCTGTGAACATTTATTTAGGGGTTTTTATATGAACATATGTTTTTAATTATCCTGTGCATATCGTTTAACATTTTGAAAAATTGCTAAACTGGTTTCCAAAGTGTTTGTACCATTTTACAATCTCTCTAGCAATGTATGAGGTTCTAACTTCTATAAATCCTTGCCAATACTTGTTACAGTCTGTATTTCTTTCCTTTCTTCTTTTTAAATTTTAGTTATCCAAGATGGTGTTAAATACTATCTTATTGTGCTTTTGTTTTACATTTCCTGAATAACTAATTACATGCAGCATCTCTTCATGTGCTCATTGGCCATTTACTTATTTTCTGATTTTTCGAAATGTCTACCCTAATTCTTTGCCCATTTTTTAATTGGTTATTTTTTTGGATAAATCTCATCGGTAATTTTTTTTATGCCTTTATTCATAACAGATAACATAGTACATTTTTAATTGTTTTTAAAATACTTTGGAAATGCAATATGTTTTAGTGCAGAAATCATTTTGCTTCTAAAGGTAGCTTAATTATGAAGAAATGTGAACTGTAAATAATTATAAAATCAACCATAGGTACTAATTATAAAATCAGCCACATGAGATTGATGTAATGTACACAATATATGATAGAACTTACATGTAAGTACAGTTGAAAAGAAAGTAAAATATCTTTTGTACCAAGGTGATAATTAATAGTAAGAAAAATTGATTTTAAAAAAAAGAAGGTATAAGAAAACATCAAAAAGAAAAAAGAAAATAATTACAGCAGTTGCATATAAGAGAACAGATATAATAATGGGGATATTATGCCAATATATTTTTTTAAATTTAGGTGATATTCATTAAATTCATAAAATGTGTTATAAGACCTCATTCAGAAAATCGAAAATAAATATAATCTTAAAACAATTAAAGAACTGATTTAGTTATTTAAAATCATCCCACAAAGAAATAATAGGTACTGGCATTTTTACCAATAAATGCTACAATACTTAAGAAACAAGCAAATTCACTCATAGAAATTCCTTCAGTCTGCAAAAGAGAGAATGTTCCCCAAGTAATTGTTGAGGTTTGCATAAAATTAAAACAAAGAATTAAAAAGTACAGAAACAGTTATGAAGTATCACTCAAAAAATTAAAATTTTGTAAACTAATTTTAGCAAGGTATTTTAAAAAATTAGCTATCATGACAAAAATGAATTTGTGCCAAGACTGCAAGGTTACCATACATTTAAAAATTAATTTAACTTACCATATTAAGGCATATATAGTAACTATCCGTTATAAAAAATTCCTAGAAAACTACAGAGAGAATATACATTTCAGAACATAATGAACACAGTGTACAAAATAATCCTATAGTAAATATGAAAGTTAATGATGAAATATTGAATGTACTCTGTTTAGGATTAAGTATGAAAAAGATCAGGTATAATACATGAATGTCTAAGTTAATTCAAGGTTAGAAATAGCCCCTTCATGTCTTCATGTCTCAGTTTCAACCAATATCTTGGGCTTCAAATAGAGTACAAAAAAATACCTCATATGCCAAATTTACCAAGGAAATGTTTTAGACCAGGTTTCACACTCTTAAATACCTCACCCACCTTGAGATTATGAAAAACTCTAAAGCCAAACAAAGCAACTTACTTACAGGGGAGGACTTAATGGGCCAACCTCAGTTTTTCAAAGCTATTTTACAGGCATGACACTATGGAGTACTATCCACAGAGTTCAGAGAAAAATAAAGGATAACCCCCCAATTTGATTCTTAGTCAAGATGCCATTCACATATAAATAAACTGAAGATATTTACAAAGAGAACTCAGTCTAGAGTCCCTTGAAATGATAATCAGATAAACAAAGTGATTATGAAATCCAGCTAATAGCTAAATCAAAAATAATTAAAAATGGAGACTCCAGATAAACTGACACATTGTTGAACACTGACAGAATAGAAAATGAGTATTATAAGTACTGCCAAGGGAGGCATAATAAACCTAACAAAATGATGACACTGAGGCAGGAAAGTGAAAGGAAATAAGAGTTATAATTACCTCGTCTGTCACATCAATGACCATCAATGCTGTGTAAAATCAAAACAGGTAGCAACAAAACCAAACCAAGAAAACCTCAGGATTTATAATGTTTTTCATAAATTTCTCCGTGTAAATTTGAGACATATTTTAAGAAATATTATTTCTTGTGGTGGGCAAATATTTATCTTACATGGTATCTCTGCACTATTTAATCCTATTCTCTAGTTCTATATTCACACACATTAGAGTTTTTAACCTTTGCACTCTGTATCAGAACCACCTAAAGACCTTTTAAAAGCTGCACGTGTTTAGGCAACACTCCAATTGGTGATTGGAGATTGCCCTTCAATTGGTCTGGAGTGGGGCATCAGTTATTTTTTTTTTTAATTCTCCAGGTAATTGCAGTGGGCATCCAGGTTTGAAAAGCACCGTGGTGGATGAAAAAAGAAATAAGACATCTCTCTAGATATCAGAAAAGAATTCACAAGAATTGCACAGATCTAACTTAAAGAAGATTTAATGTTTTGAAGAAACAGCATCACATAATGATATTAACTTGAGCCTTCGAGGCAAACTGCTTGAATTCAAATCCCAGCCACACCTTTTCCTAGGAAATTAAATTAACCTCTCCGCTTTAGATTTTCTGTTAATAATAATAATGACAGTTATCAGATTATGTTGCTTGTTTTGAGGATTAAATAAACAAATATATGTAAAATTCTTAGTCCTTTACTTGGCATACCACATGCATTGGCTATTACTGTTATTAATCATTGTTTTGGTGAATGTCCCATTAGAACTGTGGTCTACTATATACTGAAGAGATAATAACTGAACCTATTCTTCATTTAGTCCTATCCCAGACATGCTTTCCTTCCACAAAGCTGAAAAATTCCTCACTAGTTATTTAGAAATAGACTTGAGTTTCCCTCCTTTCAAAGAACTGAATAATACTTGTGAATCTTTTTTAAGCATTTTGAAAGAAAGCGAAATATTTAAAAAATTCATATGGGATACTAAATGTCTTGGACAGCCTGAAGGTCACTATAACGCTACAGCCAAACTTATGAAATTTTAGATAATACATTAAAAAGATAAGAACTTTCCAAAATGAATTGTCCACACAATAACTGGGCATTATGGAATATGATGATTGGCTGTCTGCCTCATTCCTTAATCTCCTGTTTACAGTGATATCATAAGCACTGATACTTCTCGGACCATTAGAAACGGTGGCAGTTAGTCCTGTGAGCTTGCCTGGTATTACCAGCTGAGCTTTGCTACTGGTAGGGGCACATCACAGTCTCATAGGACACCAATATCATACAAGGTCACTCTGCCACTGTGATGAAGTGAGACAAAGCAAGAGCATTTCATACTCTTATCTAAGCACAGACAAAAACAAGCTTATTGTATAAAGCACAAATACCAAACACCCCCCTCTCCTGTCTAACATGAGTGACTACTGCTTCTTTACCAATTAAAGAATTAGCCTCACTATAGTCCTCTTTCCGCTAGACAAGATTTATTAAATTACTCAATCCTAGGATTACCAATGTCCCTACCAGCATGCAATCAAGGTGAATCCCTTTCCTTGAACCTTTCCTAAATTTACCTAGTCATTGCACAAATCCCATAACTGTTACCGGAGTAGAGGTCCTTGAGTTCCCCAAGATAGAAATGGAGAGGAAATCCCAGAGAAATTTCCAGGCAGATTTTATTAAGCTTGTGCCAGAGCATAAAGGAGACAGCACAGAGGAAAGGAAGGTCCTCTAAACTGGTTCGGGGCTGGCTGTGCTTGGCTGCTTTTATAAACTGGGGACAAAGCAGGCTTGGTTGAAAAGATGGGCTTTTTGAAAATGGCTTGTGGAAATTTCTATGTCAGGGTAAGAAAAACAAGCGGTTAGAAGGGAGATAAAATTCTACTTTTTTTCTTGGAGCAGGGAGTGGAGGGGTGGTGACATTCTTGCAGTTTGTCCTTCTGGCCACCTCGCCTTAACCTGGCTTCCTGGCCACCCCGTATTTTACCATTCCTGGGCCCAAGTGGCTATACTGTCTCATAAAGTCTTTCATAATAATAACCTTTACTGTGAGACAGCTCATGATTCTCCATAATGTGTTGTCTCCCTTTTTGCAATGAGTACTAAAAGGAATTTGGTGAACTGCAGATGTGTTTCCAGTGGTCTGTGGCTGGAAGGCACTGACACTGAGTAGATTATAAATATGAAAGAGAGAAAAAAATGTGGCCTGGCTGTGGGGGAATTTTTACATAATCCTCCATTTCCCAGCACACATGGCTACTGCCTTGGGTCACCCTGATTTATTAAAGTGCACTGCTAAGCCACTAGAAATGGTTTACCTTTCTGTTACCACATTTGTTTGCCTGCTTGGCATTCCTCACAATTTAGTGCTGAGCTTCCCACTATTCATGACTTCTGTATTGACTGACAGTCACCTTCCCAAAGTAAAATACTGATGCAACATTAAAATGTCAGATTACACCATGTCTGTGTACATTTCAATCTTGCAACACTGATGATAAATATTTAATGCTAAACATTAAAGGGCTAATTTGCAACTTCTGGAAAAAACTATAAAGTGCTTCGTAAATAATGACCATTTTTTGGTTTAATGAAGTTGAAAATAAGACACATTAGAAGCAAGCAATGCATGCAAATGTAAGACCTCAACACCACATTAGTTTTAATACCAAATTAACAGGCCAATACAATCTCCCAAATGTATACTCAATATTGTTTATTTGAACAAACTCTTACATAAAAAATGAAATCGGAGGCACCTTTAAATGGTACATAAAAGATAAATTTTTCCAAATATACTACTTATAACTCCGCTCCGTTAAAGAAAATACAAAACAATATTTATTTTTCATTCATAGGAACTACAGTTGTTACTTCATAAAAAAATGTTAAAATAAGCGTAAGTTAAAGAGACATTATTTGTAGAGCAGAGCTCCTTTGAACGCAGTTCAAAATGTTCCCATTTCAAGATTTTGTTAAAAGTGTAGTTAAATGAAAGTACTTAGTCTTGCCAGAAATTAAATTTACGTTGCAAAATGGTCTGTTGCCGCTCTCACAATCACCGGGTGATTGCAGGCTGATAAAATCCCCATTGGCAGTGAAATGTAGCATTTGAAGCAAAGGGTACAAAGAAATGACATAACTGGTGCTGGATCACAGGCGTGATCCACTGAAGACAATACTGTCACTAAGGGTTAAAATGGTTCATCAGTGAAAAGGACATTAACTATAGTGTTACTGACAAAAAGGACTTAAGCACATACAACAAAAGAGGTACTGGGAACAGAAGGGTGAGTGTATAAGAGCAAATGTACCTCCTGGCGAGCACTGAAAAGGTCCCCTATTTACCCGAGACAGCTGTCCACTTCTGGTAAGAAAATTCCTTTTTGACTTTCACAACATTTAGAATAAATACCCACCTGTTATGTTTCTTCAAACAAAGGATGAGTATCTTTTTTTTTTTTTTTTTTTTAACTGTGGCTCCCAGCAACCATCTATATTTAGGAATTGTAACTTTATCAAACTTTGACTGCCTGGCACCACCATACTCTTGGGCAAATTCGTAGGAAGTCCCGCGTTAAGACACCTCAGTCTGCACTGAGGGCTACCTTCAGGGGTGCTGATCGAAAGCATGCGACCTCTCTGCATTTCAATCCATGCACCTGCTGCTGACAGACCGAACACTCGTTTTACCACAGCAATCGCCTTCTCAGTCATCTCCCATGACAGAATAAAGTTCCAAAACACGAACTCAAAGTCCCGGATGGCTGGACCCCTGAGCCAGCTGATGGCAGCTTTGCCACTTGACACTCTCCTACATGCTTTCCTCTGTCAACAGCAAAGCTCTCTCACTTGTCACATCCTTCACAGTTCCATCATTGAAAAGAAATTCTAGTGAGAGAAATGTATCAGACCTGTCCTGAGGTGGAGTTGCTGATAAAAAGACCTCAGCAGATATGTAATATGGAAACAACCCATCTTGCTGACTCCACTAAGAAGTTCTCAAAAGTTTCTGGGAAATTCATAAAAAAACTAAAATATTCTTTATTTGTTGTCCCATCAGGGTGATCAAAACAAGCTGTCTGGAGGGAGGAACTGCAAGCCTCCAACTGATCGGTTTACCTAGAAAATATGTATGCAAGGCGCCCTGTCTATTCTCTGCAATGTTGTCTCCTTCACCATTGAAAGATAATTTCACAGGGTACAGAATTCTAGGTGGGTTTTTTCTCTCAACACTTTAAATATTTCACTCCACTCTCCTGATTGCATGTTTGCTGAGAAGTTGGGTGTAATTGTTATCTTTGCTCCTCTTTAGGTAAGGTGGGTGTTTTTTTACTTTCCTTTGGCTTCTTTTAAGACTTTTTTCTTTATCTTAGGTTTTCTTTATCTACCCAACACAACAGTACTGCACCAAGTTGTACGCATTGTCAGGCCTTACCAATGAAGTGGCAGTAAGCAGAGCTGAGAGGTAAAAATCTGGGGGCAATGAGTATGACTTTTTCTAAGTCCAAGTTAACCTACGTGAGCTATTTCACCGAGCTTCTCTTCATGGACCTCCACAGTTACTAACCATGAAAAGCTATACTCAGGTACGTACTGAAGGTGAAAAGTGCCTCCTTCCACCTCAACCATTCAACCTGACCCCCACATTTGCACCTGAAGGTACAAATTGGTCAGCTAATACATATTCAATTATCTGGGAAAGGGTAGAAAAATGTGTAAGACCTGAATGTATCTCTTTATTGGCTCATTTATTCATTCATTTATTTACTCAGACAATATTTGGTATCTATTATTTTTGAGGCACTGTTCTAGGCTCTGAACATACAGCAGTGAACAATAAAACAGACAAGACTGTTCCAGTTAAGAAGCTCACATTCTACTGGAGGAGACAGACTATATATATTATTTAGGAAAAGTGTCATTGAGAAAAATAGAGCATGAAAGTGAAGGACTGACGTATATGCTGTTTTAGAGAGGTTATTGGGAAATTTTCTCAAATAAGGTGATATTTAAGCAGGGACATGAGTGAAGTGGGAAAAGGAATCATAAAGATATTGAGGAAAATAATGCTCAAAGCAGAAAAAATAGAAAGTGCAAAGGCTTTGCAAGGTCATGGGTCTCAGTGGTTTAAAAAACAGCAAAGGGCTATCATACTCATTGGTGAAAAGCTGAAAGCTTTTCCTCTAAGATCAGGAACAATACAAAGGTGCCCACACTATCACCATTTTTATTCAACGAAGTATTGAAACTCCTAGCCACAGCAATTACATAAGAAAAAGAAATACAAGGCATGCAAAACAGAAAGGAAGAAGTAAAACTGCTACCAGAGGAGTACACAACGGAGGATTCCTCCATTGCTCATGGGAGTGCACAGTTCTTGGGGCGCTGCTGAAATAAGCACTTTCAGAAGCCCCCACGGGAGATTGAGAGGTGGCAGAAGACTTTACTGGTGTTGTTATATTCCTAAGTTTTCAATGTCCCATATCCCTTAAGCCAGTCCTGAAAGAGGGGCAGCTGGGAGTTCAGCAAAGCCAAAAGGAGAGTCAGTGTCCAGAGCTTCCGTTCCATGTCCGCAACCCCGGACCTCTGTGGGATCTTGCCCCAAGCAGGTCACCTGGTGATCTTTCCAGGTCCAACACAGAGTATCAGTTAATTAAAGTACATTAGCCCATTGTGTGGAACCCCACATGGGCACAGGGGAGCACGCCTCCGCAACAAGAGTCAAAGGAGCTCAGCGGGCCAGAGAGTAAAAACCAAGAGACAAGAGCACGCTGCTTTGTTCAGAAGTTTAAATATTTAGGTTTTGCATGCTTGCAGTGGCCACGCCCATCCTGGCAACTAGTTTGTTCCCAGGTGTGACCCACTGACCGGTAGGCACCTTCCCACATAACTCAGACCTTACTGGGCATGTGTCCAAACTGTCATTGCCCAGTCCCTTCCTCCATCGATCAACAGGGAACACATTCGGAGAGTGTTAAATGCAGCTTTTGGCAAAGCTGCATAAATGCCATGCCTAAATTATCTGGTGTCCCCTTTACTCCTTTCCTATTAAACAATAACCAGGTTATTACAACAGTATCAAAACTGTCACTATTTGCAAATCAAATGATATACATAGAAAACCCTAAAGGCTCTACCAAAAAAGTACCCAGGAGGTGGGCCTGGCTGGGGGAGGTGCCCTATAATCCCTGCCTCCCCCCCAGACCCCCACTTTTGCCTGCCTTTGTTGAGAAAGCGTCCCAGGGTGCCCTCATCATGGCAAAGGTGAGCTGAGTGAGGGTCTCACTGGCCTTTCCCCACAGCTCCTCCCCGCATGCCAGGGCCCATCCCCGTGGCACCGTCTCCCGCCCACCCAGCCGAGCCCGCACTGTGTGCCGGGAAGAACGCAGCCTTCGCCCCTGTTTATGTCCTTGGGAGGTCTCCCCAGCGGCTTGCCAGGCGGCTCGGGCTTTCATTTCTCTGGTACTTTGAGGTCCTTTCTCGAATCTCCCAGGTATTCAACTTGGGAATGTGGAAGAAGTAGGCCACAGTGCTGCCAGTGATGTCTGTGGTGACTTCTGTCTCGTTTCTGATTTTGTTTATATGGGTCGTTCCCCTTTTTTCCTTAGGGAGTCTAGCCAGGAGTTTGTCAATTTTATTGATCTTTTCAAAGAACCAGCTCTTTGTTTTACTAATTTTTTGTATAGCCTTTTTGTTTTCATTCACTTGATTGTGATTTAATTTGTATTTCCTTTCTTCTGATGACTGTGGGTTGCTTTTGTTCTTCTTTTTCCAGTTCTTTCAGATGCCATGTTAGGTTGTTCACTTGGGATTTCTCTTGTTTCCTGAGATAGGCCTGTGAGGATATAAACTTCCCTCTTATCAGTGCTTTTGCTGCATCCCAGAAGTTTTGATATGTTGTACTGTCATTCTCATTTGCCTCTGCATATCTTTTGATCTCATGTTTTATTTCTCCTTTGACCCAGGCATTTTTTAGTAGTATGCTGTTGAATCTCTGTGGATTTGTGGGTTTCTTTACTACCTTTTTGCAGTTGATTTCTAATTTCAAGGCATCATGGTCAGAGAATATGTTTGATATAATTTCAATCTTCTGGGATTTGTTGATGCTACTTTTGTTACCCAACATATGGTCTGTCCTTGAGAATGTTCCATGTACACTGGGGAAGAATATTACCTGATGTTCTAGGATAAAAGGCTGATATTTCTTTATTGATTTGCTGTTTGATTGATCTGGCTGGAGCTGTCAATGGAGTATTAAGGTACTCAACTATGATTACGTTTTTATCTGTTTCTCCCTTTAGTTCTGTGAGTTTATATATCTCGGTGCTCCCTGGATGGATGCATATATATTAAGAAGTGTTATGTTTTCTTGATGTAGTGTCCCCTTTATCATTCTAAAGTGTCCATGTGTCTCTTGTTATCTTTGTTGACTTGAAATCTATTTTGTCAGATATAAGTATGGCTACACCTGCTTTTCGGTGGATGTTATTTGCTTGGAGAATCATTTTCCACAATTTTACTTTGAATCTACCTTTGCCTTTGCAGTTTAGATGTGTCTCTTGTAGGCAGCATGGGGTTGGGTTCTGTTTTTTGATCCACTCTGCTACTCTGTGCCTCTTTATTGGTGAATTCAAACCATTTACATTTAGAGTAATTATTGATGTATAAGAATTTCCTATAACCATTTTATCTTTTGTTTCCTGGTACCTCTGTGCCTTCATTGGTTCTTTTCCTTTGTACTTTTGTCTGTTGCTTTTGTTTGGTGGTGTTTCATATTTCTTTCCTCTGCATCTTCTTTTTTTAAGCTATGTGTCCTGGTTTGGGGGTTTTTGTGTGTGGTTACCATTAGGTTTATAAAAAATAAAGTTGCATATATATAGTAGTTTTTTTCCTTTTAGGTGCATTTCATGTTCATCCTCCTTTGCTGGCCTAGACTTTTACCCTCTTCCCTTTTATGTTTTTGTTGTCACAAATCATCCCTGTTTATGTTGTAAGTTGTTTTGGTGATCTTACTCACAGTGTTGACCTTATGTTCTTTGTTGCGGATGGAATAACTCCCTTGAGTATTTCCTGCAATGGGGGTTTTCTGGTGATAAAATCTCTCAGCTTCTATATGTCTGGGAATGTCTTTATTTCTCTTTCATACTTAAAGGATAATTTTGCTGGATATATTATTCGTAGCTGTTAATTTCTCTCTTTCAGACGTTGGAATACTTGGCTCTACTCTCTTCTGGCTTGTAGAGTTTCTGCTGAGTAGTCAGATGAAATTCTGATTGATTCTCCTTTGTAGGGCACTTCCTTCTTTTCCCTGGCTGCTTTGAGAATTTGTTCTTTGTCATTAATATTTGACAGTTTTAATACTATGTGCCTTGGAGAGGAGCCTCTTTGGATTGAGGTAACTAGGGGTTCTGTTTGCTTCTTGGATTCGAGGACCCAGTTCTTTTCATAGGTTTGGGAAGTTCTCATCCAGTATTTGTTTGAATAGACTCTCCACTTCCTTCCATGTCTCTTCTTCTGGAATGCCTGTTACACTAATATTGCTTTTTCTGATGGAGTCAGATAATTCTCGTAGAGCTCCTTCATTTTTTTTTTTTTATGTTCAGGTCTCTCTCTGCATCATTTCTGGATTCCTACCTTTGATATCACTAATCCCTTCCTGCATCTGGTTGGTTCTATTTTCTATGCTCAGTAGCTCATTCTTAATCTCCTTAAGTGCATGCTACATTTCCAGGATTTCTGATTGGTTCTTTTTTAGTGTTTCAATCTCTTTCGTAAAGTACTCATTTTATTCATTGATTTGTTTTCTGAGTGCATTGAATTGCTTGTCTGTATTTTCTTGCATCTTGTTGAGTATTTTCAGAACTGCAATCTTGAAATCTCTGTCATTTATATCACATATTTCCATGTATTCCAGCTTCCTTTCTGGGGAGTTTTCATTTTCTTTCTGATCATCCTCGCCACTGTGTTTATTCACTGCATTTGCTACTCTTTTGTCTAAGCATCTATGGCCCTTCTATAGCAGTGTTCTCTGAAGAGTTCTTTCTACTATTTTCCAGTAGATGGCGCTGAATCACAAGATTTTTTTTACCTCTGAGATGTCCCAGACATGACCTCCATGGCTTCTGTAAGACAGTACAGCCTCACTGCTTGGGAGGGGGCTTTGTTTTTCCCTCACCATAACCGCAGCCTGGGACCCCTGTGGGATCTTGCCCCAAGCACGCCACCTGGGGATCAGTCACAGAGGGAAACTGCAGTTCTACTGCAATAGCTCTTGGTTTACAGATAATGGGTTCCTAGATCCGACACTGAGGGCAATGGGGATGGAGTTTTGGGAGTCCAAGGAGAGAGAGGGCTCTGTTTTTCCGTTTCTTTGTCTGAAGCACCACCAGTGGACAGCTGAGGGGCAGAATCTGTGCTCTGCCAGGCATGTGCTGGCTTAGTCACTATTCACTCTGCTCTCTCAGCTGAACTGTCCCCCAACACTTGTCTGTTCCTCCTTGCCAAAGAAAGCATCTGCTTCCACCATCTTCCTCCCCCCTCCAGGCAGAGTGTCCAGCTCCCGGCTGCAGAGCTGCATCTGCAAGCCATCTGGGCTTTCCTCCCTTCTGGCCTCCTCATTATTCCCAGCTGCCCACCTTTAGATGTTTCAATGGAGGGTCTCTCAGGTGTGCCTCTGTACTGAGTAGGGAATTCTTTATTGAATTATAGCTGGCTAACCTGTTGAAATTTCAGGGGGAGAGGCCAAGAGGATCTCTCATTCCGTCATTCCTCTGATGTCACTCCCCAAATACATTTTTATAAGATATGAATCATATTATAGTTTCAAGTTAAACTTTGATATTATCAGTTCCTCAATTAGAAGGTTATAAAATATTCTATATGTACTAATACCAATATATCAATATACCTCTTTCAACCTTGTTTTCACTATGTTTGCTTCACTAATGGCTTTAAGTTCAGTGCAACTGTAATTCAAAGTCTCATTTTAAGCTTCCCTTACTTCCACTCTGAACATGGCAAGATTGTGTGTGCTTGGAAGAGAGGAGCCGAGCTGAAGTCAAAGAAATAACCAACATGAATACTGTCTTCCTCATGTTAATCAATGCTTATGATGAGTAAAAACAATACACTGTTATACTAACAAATTGAATCTTTTTCAGAGTTTAATGCTCCTGGGGTAAAAACTTATAGAGCCTCATTCCTCCTCAGGAATCACGGAGTGCCTGCCTGAATAGTGGAGCAGGTCTGTCTATGAACACACTCTTTTCTGAGTATATGGGGTGGGGGCAAAAGTGGGTTTACAGTTCTTCAAAATGGAAATTTATACAATACCTGTAATACAAGAATAAACTCTGTTTCACATATGCACACTGTAAATCTACTTTTGTCCCACCCTGTATGGACTTAATATGACCTTACTCCCCCAAATTCATGAAGCATTACTGCACTTAGTGATTTCCAAGGTGATTCACAACAAAATGTAAGATGCTGTCTAGTCAATTCTCACTTGCTCTCAACTAATTACATACAAGGTTTGAGCAGTGTCACCTACATTTAATAGTTTATAGGGCTGAAAATGCCATCAATTATATCAATGCTTTTATTTCTGGAACACATATACATAATTTTTATCATTTATTCTTCCAAATAAGTTGGAAAAGCATCTTTTATTATTTCTATTTTACATGTAAGAAAACTGATCTTGAAGATGTTAAGGATTAAGGAATACTCTTTTTGCAGAACAGAGCACAAATGCTGTAGTCAAGTCTAAAATCCATGAATTCTGAGCCCAATTCTGCAGCTCCTTCTCACTGTTATACTACAACATGTGATGATTTATTTAAAGAAAAAGAATTCTTACCTTTCTCACAGTTTTTCCATATAACATGCCGGGTATTCTCATAATTCGTGTTCAACCAACTGAGCAGAATTCTTTCAGAATCAGAATATATGTTGCTGGATACAAAACAAGGATTGCCTTTTGGTGAACTCTGCATATATTCCAAGGGCTCATCATTTATTGAATGTGGTACAACCTGGGATAGTATCAGAACCTAAAATTCAACAGAAGAGAAAAAAACTTTTACTAGACCTGAATGTCAAAATAAAAATGCGGAGAGTAAATAAAAGAATATGACAGGTAGAAAAATACAGAAAGGCATCAGTATTTTCTGCTTAATTACATCCTCTTAAGAGTGAAGAACAGATAAAATGACCTCTAACGCCCATTTTAAATTTCCAACTTTTTGCTTCTATAGCATCTAGTCTGTAAGGTACCACACTATGTCATGTGCAAGAAGCAGCTTATTACCTAAGGATTCTGGTCACCAATTTTCAGTGTGTGTGTGGGAGGTGGAGAGTGGAATCTCCATCCCCATACAACCAAGCAATTCTCAAACAGCAGTAGAGCCTCCAACAACTCAATTCTGATATTATCTACCCAGAGACAGTATCAGATTCCACAGGTTGAGGGTTCAGTCCTACAAGACTATGCCCCTCCACTACTTCAGATGCCAATCAAAAGCCTAGAGTGTTACCTATGCTTTCTAACCCATCGACTACCCACTGGAGGTTCCAACGATCCCTTACTTGGCAACTAAGTTCAGACACAGTCACAAGTTCAGCTTGTTATCTATACTTTTGACCAACTAGCTATAAATCAGAGGTTTCAATAATCCCTTGTTGGGTTCCACTAGGAGGTAAAACAGCAAGTTCTAACCCTCTAATCACATGGTTGGTTCCTCTGATAATCAGCCCTCTTAGTTAGGCACTTTCCAAAATCTACCTAATTAACATAACAAAAGACACCTTTTTTTTCACTCATCACTTAGAAAATCCAAAGCATTTTGGAAGCTCTGTGCCAGAAATGAGTATGAAGACCAAATATATATTTGTTATTATAAATCATAATATCACAGTATATAATTACATATATTGAATGTTACCCAATCACTATCATATGCACTTCCAGTTCCACATTAATTTTGCTATTCTATTTGGCTTATTGTTTTTCAATGACAGATTTTTAAAATTATGTGTTATTTTAATCTCTTTTTCCAATTGGCATAGAAAGCACAATTAATTTAAGTAGTAGTCAGCAAAAGTAAGACCAGATTTCATTTTTAGAAGCTTACATTTCCCTTGATCAGATTGTTTAAGTGGAAGGATATAACTAATAAACATTGTTCAAACATACCATAAGTGTTTATCACCATAACAAAACTTCTTGCAGTCATTTATGTCTCAATATTATCAACATCACCAATTTGTTGTAAAGAGAACACAATTTAATTCCACAGAGTAAGAATTATAAAAAGGAAAAAGAAAATAAAGGAAGAGAGACAGCAAAACTGAAAAGAAACATTCCAGTGTGTTCATCAACAGCCCCTATTAAAGAGGAACACAAGGGAACTGATTTGGGGATGAAGATACAAGCTTCGGTTAAGACAGGAGGTAGAGAGAAAGCTCCCAGAAGAGACTAAGGCTACAGGGGAGTTTTCTGACAGTAAAAGACACAGCATCAATCTGAGTGCCCACCAACAGACAAGTGGATAAAAAGCTGTGGTACATAAATACAATAAAATATTTCTCAGCCATAAAAAAAAAAGAATGAAATCTTACCGTTTGCAACAACATGGATGGACCTATAAGTATTATGCTAAGTGAAATAAGTCTGTCAGAGAAAGAAAAATACTATATTATCTCACTTATATGTGAAATCTAAAGAACAGAATAAGCAAGCAAACAAACAAAGAAGATTCATAGACACAGAGGACAGGCTGATGGCTGCCAGAGGGGAGGCGTTCTGGGGACTGGGTTGAGACGTACAGATTGGTAGTTACAAAATGGTCACGGGGACGTAAAGTACAGCACAGGAAATAAAGTCAATAATATTATAACTATATATGGTGCCGGGGGTGTACTGGAAATATTGGGGGGATCACTTTGTAAAGTATGTGCTCATCTAACAACTATGTTGCACACCTGAAACAAGTACAAAATAATATTAAATGTAAACTGTAACTGAAAAAAAATTAAAAATGCAAAAATTTTTCTAAAAATCTGATCACAGCCTGGGCGGGCATGTCTCAGCGGTTGAGCATCAACCTAGGATCCAGGAGATCTCGGTTCGATTCCCGGTCAGGGCTCATGCCCGGGTTGCGGGCTCGATCCCCAGCAGGGGGCGTGCGGGAGGCAGCCGATCAATGACTCTCATCATTGATATTTCTCTCTCTCTCTCCCTCTCCCTTCCTCTCTCTGAAATCAATAAAGATATATCTTAAAAATAAAAAAATAAAAATCTGATCACAGCCCTAAAGCACTGCACACATCATCCATGGGGGTCACTGCTAGGGGTTCCAGGAAACCTGAGAGGTACCTGTTCCTAATTTAAAGATAAAGTCTGCAGGCCCTTGTCTTCTCACTCCCGTTATCCATGGCTCCTGGCTTCTTAACCATCTTTATCAAACCTTCCTCCTTCTCAGCCTATACACTAGTTTTTCTCAGAAGACCCCTTATCTCATCTTCAAAGGGCAAAGGGATGACATCTGAATGAGAACACTGCAGTGTCCTACCACACGTCTAAAAGCACTTGCATCGCACTCGCTGTTCTTCTCTCCAGCCCCAATGACTGAGTGACCTCCCAGCCCTTCTGTGCTAGACACCAGGCCTTCTCATCTCCTTAGGAACAGTCCTGCACCAGCTAGTCTGTTTTAAAGACTTTATCTTTAGCTCTTGGATCTTTAACTTCTCCCTCCTGACCAGTTCTTTTTCAGCAATATCAAAACATGCTCACTTACACACTCAGCTTTTAGGGGGCTCTCCCAAACTTGAATTCCCATTGACTCTTTTACCTGTTCTTTCTACCAGTGACATCTGAAAGAGTTTTCTGCCCTGACTGTCACCACTTCCTTTCACTCATTTAGCTCATCAAACCAAGGCCCACCTAATGGCCTTCCCCGACTCATCATTACCACCCTAAGCAACCGCTCAATTTCATTCGATACTGTTAAGCATGTCCTCCCTCAAAGGCTCTCTTTCCTCCTTGTTCATGACATCATAAAGTGTCACTGCTCTCTCTCCCTATTTGAAGCTCATTTGCAGGATTCTCTTCCTTTGCCTATTTAAATATTTGGTTTCTTCAATATTGGGTTTCTGACCTATGATATTTTTTTTACTCTATAGCACTTTTCTCCCAATTTTATTCCCTATAAACCACTGAATGTACATTAAGAAACCACATAGACCACCACTGATAAGAGAGAATAAAATGTCATCATATACTTTGTTTGCACATATTTATCACACACAAGCAAAGAGTTATTCATATGTTCCCTATCTATGGTTATATCCAACAAAAACATGCAATATTTGTTAGCACCTGTAAGAAAAATTGTGCTTCCACACTGATGTCACTGACATTGTGGGACATACTGCAAAGCCATTTAATAAAGGAATTTCACCAACTCTGCTTCTCTCCAATCATATTTTATTGCTTTTAAATATTCCTCAGAAATATGATCCCTTGTACCATTTTTTTTGTTTTCTACACAGGCATGCGATTCTCTATAATGCCTAGGTAGAACTGATGTCTCACCGACCTTTAGCAACAAATACTCCAATTTTATTATAGAGAGAACTGAACTGGTTCAGGGAAAATATGTTTAATTAACCAGAAAGATCACTGCTCTTTGTTTAAAAATAGAAAATTTTTGACATAATTGTACCACTATTCTAAAAAGAAAAAAACAACTTTATGATAGTATACTGGGAACAAATGAATGAACAGTTAATTAAAATTATTCAGGAATTTATTTCTGATCACCTTTTTCTTTTCCAGATTCTTCTGTAAAAACATCGCATTCACTTCTTTCAGTACATACAGATTCATCCTTTATATCCACATGAGCTCTCTATTTATAATTACATTTAGAACAGCATTCTGAGTTTGAGTGTTTCTGTTACTGTTTGTCACCTCTCATGCTTCAATGACCCACTTTCTAGCCATTTTTGTGAACATATTTGTGAATTGGGAATAAAATGCAAGGGAAGAACAACAATTAACCACGCAGATTTAACAAGCAAAAATAACCTAATGACACAAAATTAAATTGAATGAGGCAAGCTATATCCTGTTATCCAAACAATTAGCCAAGAAGAACTACAAAGGCAGTCTCAGAGTGCTTGCACGACCTCTAAGAATTCAACATGAACCCAAAGGGATTTGTGTGAAAATCACAGTCTTTTATTTCTGACTTGTGAACTCACCTCAACAACACTGCTTGCTTTTTCAAGTGAACTTGCCAATCCACTTCTGATTTAATAGAGCACCCGGAGCCACCCATATGTTAGTCACAATACATGAAGAAACAGCTCTGCAGATGATCTAACTGAGCAATCTTATCCACTCCTATGGCTTTATCATGACATCAGCAAAGAATCCCAAATGTGTGCTGCCACCCAGATCCCTTTCCTGACTCAAGGATATACCTACCTGGTCATCATATCGGGCACTATAATACAGTAGGACCAAAATTAATTTATCATGTCCTCCTACCCTATTCCACCCTCTGCTCCCAACAAAATACTGTTATTATCCCTTGTCTTCTATTTCAGTGATTGGGATCAAATTCTACTCTACTCAACAAGAAACCCACTGTCATCCCTCACTTTCTTGTCTCTTTCTCCCCCAAGACCTAGTCATTCACCAAGTCTTACTGAGTTCTACTCCTAATAGTTATGAAAGCTGCCCCTTTCTCATCTTTCCCACTACCAGCAACATTCTTAGCACCATACATTGAAATACACCCCTGAACAGTTTCCATACTGTACCATAGAGATTTCTCTAAAACGCAAAGCTGATTATGTCAACCTTATGTTTACTACCCTTCGACAGCTCTGTACCGACCTCCTGGTGAACTCCATAAAGTCCATATTCCTTGGTTTGGCTTAGGAAGTCATCCATTTCTGAGTGGGCTCACAGTCCACTGCTCTTACCCCCAGCCATACTGGGTTTATTTCTCAAAATGTACCATGTTTCATCTAAATTCAGGCACTTTCACATTGAATTCCTTTTGTCTTGAAAAATGCTATCCCCTCCTCCCCATCACTTTACTGAAATTAAACTCATCTACCACCTCCTTTACACAAATCATACTCTCTCTCTCTTTCAACTATGCCTCACCTTGCCTGGAAAACACCTATCATTTCTCAGGACTCAGTTCAAATTGATCTTCTTCCTAGCAACCTTCCCTGAGCCACCAGTAAGTTAGGATCCTCCCTTGGGCACTCATCCTTAGCCTTTGGGCTTCCCTTGTCATAGCATTTGTCATACTTCCTTGTAATTATATATAGTTAGTTTCTTATACACTCCAGGATACAAAATTATTGAGGATACAGACTGTATCGTTTACTCTTATATCCACAGAGCCTAGTAAAGTACCTGAAATATAATAGTTGTTGAATAAATTAATCAACAAATATTTGTTGAGCACCTACTATGTAGCTGATTCTCTATTAAGTTTACAACTGACACTTGGTTTCTAAATTCATAGACTTATAGGTGGGAAGATAGATTAAATAAACTAAGCCTATATATGAATGCATGCATAAACGAATAATTGAGTAAGTGTGTGAACAAAGACCACAAAGCAAGATAAGGACTGGTCTGTCCCTAAAGTAGGGCATGTGCTGGAGTCGCTCCTCTTTATCCCTGGGCACAGTGATAGATGATGCAGACTGAGAGAAGAAGAAAACGTCTTCTTCAGCCAATTCGAAGTTTGGCTGAGAGTCACAAATGTCCTCATACATTCTTCTGGGAATTAACCAAGAAAAAAAAAACAGGGTTTCTTCTCTTGACATCCAGCAAGACAGACAGGAAAGGTTGAAGTGGAAAGAAGAGGAGAGGAGGAGTGAGTGGGAACATGAAGCAGAAGGAACTCTCTAGAACATAGGCCCGGGTGGCTGGCTGCAGCGAAGGCTTTAGACTACCAGAGAACAGCAAGAGGGCCTTGGGTTCCTGGGCCCTGGAAGACAACAAGAAGAAATAAACTTTGCCTATATCAGATGGTTTTACATGGCCAAAATCAGGAGATCTTGGAAGAAAGTGGGTATGCCTGTGAAGTCTAGTTTCTGCATCTCTAAACCGGGGATTACTGGTTGTGAAGATTAAACAGTATCACATTTAAAAAGCATTTTGTGACAAGATCACATTTTAAAAGCATTTTGTGACATAATACTATTCAGCTTTTAATTTTGTCTTCTTCTTTGAGTGACTAATTGCAGCTTCTATTTAATTTAGCTTCTTCATTTTAACCCCCGTCCTACAGCGCACCCTATCGGTGAGTGAGGACAGTGCAGAAGCCTCCATTGGTCTCAGTCAGCAACACGTATATAGTGCCCTATTTCCTTGGAAACCTAGGAAACGATTCCAGGACTGCAACCACTCTTGTATAAGCAATAAAGATATAGGTTGTGAAGACACAATTTATATGTTAATTTGCCCACGTGTGCACCTTGGCATGAAGTCGATTGGAAAATCTCATCAACACCTGGTCTCGCCTATGGTTATATGATTCCTAGAGAATGTCCCCAGAATAACTTTACAAGAGAATACTATGTATTACAGGTGGAGACCACAATTTTCACCAATATCCATTCTTCAATCCTTACCTTTTTTTCCCCAAATATGTTTCCACTGATTTGAGAGAGAGGAAGGGAGAGGGATAAAGATACAGAAACATCAATGATGAGTCATTGATCACCTGCCTCCCGCACGCCCCGCACTGGGGATCGAGCCGGCAACCCGGGCATGTGCCCTGGCCAGGAACCCAACTGTGATCGCCTGGTTCATGGGTCAATGCTCAATCACTGAACCACACCAGCCGGGCCTTCAATCCTTACTTTTAATATTGGAAAATGTCTATAGCTACCAAGTTTAGAGACTATATTTCTCAACTTCCCTTAAAGCTAGGTGTGGTCATATGACTAAATTGTTCCCAATGAAACCTGAAAGGGAAATGATGCCTTTTCCAGGCAACATCCTTAAAAGGTATTTATTTGTCTTCTATTCCTTCATCTGTTCTTCCTTATTCTGAGAAACTGACCCAGAGATGAAAGCCCAGTACTGAGGAGGGAAGAGATATCCCACTGCCTCTAGACCACTTACTTCTCCACGGTTCCATGAGAAAGACAAATAAAAATTCTATCTTAGTTGAGCCACTGCGATTTTAAGTCTTTTACAGCAATATTACCTATACCTTAACTAATACGCTATCTATGTAAATTAACCAAAACATCCCAGCAATGAACAAGAGGGGAAATGGTACCTTGTAGATCTGAAGGAATAAATCTGTCCATGCCCGTTTACTCCAGGCTTCAAACTCAGTCATCTTTATAACAATAGATCGCTTTTCCTTAGGTATAGAGGAACACGCCGGCAAGATATTAGTGGAAGACTTTAATAAATAAAATATCACAACATTAATTAAAATGCAAGGCAAATGTAAGTTCAAAACTTTAACTACTTAGCCTATTTTTTTCTTTTAATAAAACTTTTACATGTCCTTTTTATACATTCAAGATCTCTAATTCCCCATCTACCAGTCATAGAATCTATCAACATAGGTAACTTTCTGGAACTCACAGCCCTTTACTGAGGTCATAGATTTATTCATTCAGTGCACCCACGAGAGCTCTGGGGCAGAAGTGGCAGAATGAGATGTAAAGCTATGCTGAACTCAGAAACCCTAAGAGCCACACTCTTTAAATTAAGCCACAGGGACTCAGGAGAGTGTCAAAGAGCAGGCCCCTGGCTCTGCTACTAATGTCATGTGTTGACTATAGTAACAGTACAACTACAGTTGCCTCAAAGCCTGCGGACATCTCCGAACAATACCCCTTCTCAACAATTTCCATAAAATGAACTGCATAATTAAAAAAAAACCCTGTGCATATATTGTTTAATTTCTCCCTACTCTCCTGTAAAATTGAAAAAGGGAAGCGGCGAGTGATGGAGAAAGTAAACCAGTATTTTCTTTGGAAGATATATATTTTAAAAATTCGTTTTAAGAAAAAATTTACATAGGCACACACCAGTCTTCATTTCTAAATTCCCTAAAAGTAGCAATTACTTATATATTGAAGAAAACCATGTGATCATTTCTGCCTAGGCTCTGCAGAGATTTTTAGACAAATACAAACATGTCGTCCAGAGAGGCAAAATCCTTAGGATAACTTCAAAAATAAAAAAAATCAAGGATTCTAAAATGATATCTTCAAGAGAAGACCGAAAATCAGTAAATTCAATATCTGTGCAGTTGTTCCAAGAAATCATATTTCCTTACCCTAATTTCAATCCACTTCTTATAATCTTCTGGTTCAAACAGAAATTCTGGCAGTACATGAGAAATGCATGCTCCTTGAGCACTAAAATTAAAAAAGAAAAATCCAAGTTATCATAGTATAGCACTCATGATTTGTTTATCACTTGCATTTCAACTTTGATTAAATTATTTCAATGTCATATAGTTTATTAAATTTAAATTTTAATATTTAAAAGCTATGTAATTAATTTTAAAATTTTCCCTTAACAATAAAATGTATATATGATGTTTCCTTTAGAGAGCTGATTAATGAAAAAGATCTTACTGAGTGCCTTTAATCATCCACATCTACCCTTATATGTTAATAAGATATGAGTCCGGATTTAGTCCCTCTTGTCAAAGCACTAACCATTTTTTTAAACAAAATTCACATTTTATTTACATTGAAATAAACTATACAAAATTAACCTTCTTCACCAAAAATAATAGCAATATTTTCTGTATTATTCCTAGATAATCACAAAACACATTTTGCAGGTTTTCCAGGTTTTGCTATCAAGATGCGGCAGTAGATATATAGTCATGAGAAAAGACATAACATTATAAAATTTAAAAATATATGGAAAAAGTTTGAATACAGTAAAACATCTAATAAATTCATCATTAGTCACCCAGTGTTCATGGAATGCCTATCACCACATATGCCTGAATATAGAAAACCCCCAATATAACATAATCCATCACTTATTTTTCCAAAGAGAATATCCAAAGTTTGTAGCCTCTGACTACAGATATAAATTTATAGTAGTATAGCTGAAGCAGCAATTATCTATTTATATTATTTTATACATGTAAAAACTAATATCTATTTATATTTATACATTTAAAAACATTTATCAAGTTTAAGATTTTACAATTTTCTCACTGTCAAATTCCTTGAAATATTTTAATCCAAACTCTTCATACGCATGTCCATCACCACCAGAACCTATAAACATCTAATACAATTTTGGCAGGAGTGTTCCCTAGAAGGGATCTGGGTGTTTAGTATAACTCATTTAGTGAGCATAGGACCTCACTCCCCATAAGCATTTACCAGAGAAGAATGCCTCATCTAGTACTTAACTCTGAAACATCCTCAGCAGTTTGCAGTCCTAGAACTGCTGAGAAGAGAGAGAAAGAAAAAGTAGAAAGAAGCCTTAAGATGATTCTGAAGTCTCAAACCTTGAAGATGGATATAAGAGAGAAGGAAGGGAACCCTAGTGGGGGAGGAAGCAATGAACACAGTTCTAGAGTTGTTCAATTTGGCATGGCCCCTGCGCCAATCAAAGCTAGTGGAAGAAATTGTGCGGCACACATATAAAGTTCCTTTGTTTAGAAGTCAAACATCATCCCTCCTCTTTGGTTTTTACACATTTCCTGTCTGCATCTACATTATTTTTATGAAACTTCATTACATTCAAATTACTATAGGTTTAAGTAAAATCTAATTTTAATGGGACACTACTTCTTAGAAGGAGGAGCCAACCTAAAGCCTGTGTAAGAACTTGATGAAATGATGGCCCACTAAGTTGAAATCCTAGAGAGTGTAACAAAGACATATGAAGAAACTAGAATATTTCCTTGCATCCAAGGCTAAGACAGGATCTCAGGAGGAAATGACCACTTCTATGAAATGCTACTGAGAGCCTAAGGAAAACTATCAGGGAGCCATTAAACTGAGAGCTTCTTGAGGAAGGAGAGCACATGGTATTCATTTTGTTACATGGTATTCAAATTAACAGGCCAGATTTCCCCATTGCTAGTGGGGAATCTTAGAGCACTGCTGAAATAAGCATTTTCAGAAGCCCCCACGGGAACATGAGATGCAGTAAAAGGCTTTATTTGTGTGGAGTTACATTCCTTGGGTTGCAAAGTCCCATGCCCCTTAAAACAGTCTTAAAAGAGGTGCAGCTGCGGTGCCAGTAGAGCCAAAAGCAAGGCCAGTGTCCAGAGCTTCCGTTCCATGTTGCAGCTGAGTCCAGTTCAGCATTCAGGCTAATTAAAGTCTATTAGTCCATTGCCTGGAGTCCACATGGCCATGGGCCACATAGGCGAATGCAGAGGAGCATGCTTCTTACAACAGGAGTCAGGAGCAAACAGCAAGGGAGAGAACCACGAGCCAAGAGGCAAGAGCCAAGAAAGTAAATTCCCTTTGTCCAGAAGTCTAAATATTCTGGTTTTGCGCCCTTGCAGTGGCCATGCCTATTCTGGCCAATTACTTGTTCCCAGGTGTGACTGACAGACAGGTAAGCATCTTCTCGTGTCACTCAGACCTTATTGGGCATGCGTCTAAACTGCCTTTGTCCTGTCCCTTCCCCCATTGATCAGCGGGGAATAGACTTGGAGAGTGTTAAATTAGCAAAGCTGTATAAATGGGATGCTTATATTATCTAGTCTTCCCTTTACTCCTTTCCTGTTAATGATAACCAGATTATTGCAATGGTGTCATTTTGAGTATTTCAGAGTGTCCAGGAGAGAGTAAGCCTTCAGTAAAAAGTTGAGAATGTAAGAATGCAGTTTTGTATTGGTAAAGACAAGAGAACATGTCCAAAATGGAGTTGTGTATGCTAAGTCCCGCATCACCAAATCAAAACTTAATTACAGTCTGGCTCTCCCAGAAATGGAATCTTAAACCGTTCAGTCAGAATAGCCTGATCAGCACTAGTTAGGTAATCTCCCTGATAGTAGAGCCCTGCCATCCCCTAAAGGAAAGTGACCTTGCAATAGCCAATCTACATTTTGTGCTGTAGGGGTGGAAAATGTTTCCCTTCTTTCTTTCTAGGTTCTTTGGCTGGTCTAATAATAAAACTGATGTAAGACAGATTAACAGGAGAAAAGAAATATGCACCTACAGGAGCACCACAAAGATGTGAAACCCCAGGCAGCCAGGTAATTGAGGAAAAGGGAATAAGGGTCTGGAGCTTCGAAGGGGAGGAAGATAATTCACAGGGAGATGAGAAGAGCAAATGTTTGGGCAATCAAATGTTTGCCCAGCCATGTAGATAAGTCTTTCTCATATAAAAAGTTATTTCTGGCCCGGCTGGGCATGGCTCAGCGGTTGAGCATCGACCTAGGACCCAGGAGATCAAGGTCGGATTCCGGGTCAGGGCACATGCCCCGGTTGCGGGCTCGATCCCCAGTCGGGGGCGTGCGGGAGGCAGCCGATCAATGACTCTCTCATCATGGATGTTTCTCTCTCTCCCTCTCCCTTCCTCTCTCTGAAATCAATAAAGATATATTTTTTAAAAAGTTATTTCTGCTAATAGCTCTCTTCCTGGTATGGGCCTCCTATCTAAATTTGAGGCCATTAAGGAAGAGGAAAACTTTTCCTGAGTCTGCTGGGTCTCAACTGCCTTCAGCTCAAAACAATCCACATGCCAAAGTGGCACATTTTGGGGTGGCATATTCCACCACCCCTATCCCCCACTGCCTCAGTACAACTTCCTTATTCATGCTCCCTTCTACTTATAAAATCTCTTGCCTTGTATAGCTCTTCGGAGCTCCTTTCTCTCTGATAGATTGGATGCTGTCTGATTTATAAATTCTTGAACAAAGCCAATAAGATCTTTAAAATTTACTCAGTTGAGTTTTGTTCTTTAACAGAATTTTACAGGTGCTGTTATGAAGTGAAGGGTAGCAGAATAGGCCACCCCAAAATATGCCTTTTTGGCACAGAGATCATTTTGAGAAACCAAAGATACAGGAGAAGCTCTAAAAATAGAGTAGAAGTTAACCTTTTGTAATGGAAATCTACATTTATAAAGGAAATTTACATTAGAAAAGAAGCCCTTTCCTGGAAGAGAGCTATTGCTAGAGATTACTTTTCACCTGAGAGACTCACCTGCTTGCCAGGGCAACCCTTGTTCAACAAACATTTCCTCTTCCCGTCTCATCCCCCCCACTCCCCTGCCCCCCATTTTGAAGCCCTGTATTCTAACCCTTTCCTTAGCTCAATCTTCTGGCTGCCTTGAATCTCATGTCTCTGTGGGGCTACCATACTTATGCACATAATTAACGTTTTTTTCTCCTGTTAATCTGTCTTTCATTACATCCAAGAACCTAGAAGGGAAGAGTAAAAATTATTTTTCCTCCCCTACAAAAGGCTTGTTTCTTTTTATTTTGCATCTATCTGAAAACCTAACTTCATCAGTCCCTAAGATAGTATTTACAATTATGTTTTGTCAATAGTTTATGCTTGGGGTCGTGGATGCTCAATACAGTGTGTAGATGATGTGTTGTAGAATTGTGCACCTGAAACATGTATAATTTTGTTAACCAGTGTCACCACAATAAATTCAATAAAAAGAAAAAAATTTTTTTTAAGTCAGTAGTTTTATAGTGCTCACTTTCATAATTGATTTGATTACACTTTTACATTCTAGGCTTTCTACTTGCATATTTCTTCTAAGTTTACCTTGAATAGAACAAAATAAAATTAGATGTAATGAGTTATTAAATTCTACACTAATCTCCAAAAATTATAGTTTCTCTCTCATTAATTGCACAAAATAAATATAATTTCACTTGTACAAAAGTCCTCACCTGCTGTCACCAAATTTAAACGGGGAAGCTAACAACATTTATTATCATTTTATACATTTATTTCCATGATGAAACATATGCACGTATTTTGGGTTAATGACCCAATTCTATTAACCATACTGCCACATTCTGAATGTTGAGGAATTTTATCAGAGCCAACATATCCTGAAAGGCTTATATTTGCTGATAAAAGAGCAATAAATTTGAATGGCTTGGCATTAATGCCAAAATCATTCTTTTATACCTGCATCCCCATACCACAAAATGTCAAAACAGAAACCTCCCATATTAATGTCAACACTACTGGGGCTGTGCTAACTAACAATAATGCTACAAGAACAACATGACAATCACAAGTACCAAAGAGTTTAATGATGCTATCAGAAAACTACTTGATTTCTATATTGCACAAACAATAAAGATCTAGTTAAGTATTCAAACCTCCTCCTTTCGTTCACAGTTAATATTCCATTAGATATTCAAAGCACAACTAACTTTCTAAAATAAGAATGGCATTAGAATTTTTGCCTTGTTGAATTAAAGCATTTATTTTATTGAATCCATCAAAGACCAAAAGTATGAAGTGGTAAAATTAAAAGAAAAGTCATGTGCTTTTTATTTTAAACTTATAAAAATTTAAATAAAGCTTCCATCTATCTTATAAATACAAAGACAGAGTTGATAAATACTAGTTTTCTGGTATTCTTTATGTCAACAGACATTTACATCTAATAGGAGAACAGATTTTTAAAAATATTCTATTTCAATAATAGTGATACCAAAAGAATCAATGTTCAGTAGGTCACTAATGGTTATTGCATTAGAATAATTTAAGAAAACATTTTAGCACATGAAAGCCATTAATCTTGATTCATTCCACTTCATCATCATCATCACTCTCATCTACTATGTGTCATGTATTACACATTTTATTATTTCTATTTTTTTATCAACCTAGTTTGAGAATTATAACCCTCAATTTTACAGATATTGAAATTGGGGCTTTAACAGGTTAAGTAACTTGTGCAGTCACAGGAGTATAAAAGAGCTAGAATTTAAGCTTTCATCTACCTGATTCAAAAGCCTTTAACCTCACTTCAGTTTGCTCTTCCAGAATCATTTATTTGCTATGAAATATTTTCATTCTTAGATGCAATTCCATTAATTAAGATATCATAATAGACATGCATAAGTAAGAAAATATAGGGGTTTTTTTGTTCTTGTTTTTTTAAATTGATTTTTAGAGAGAGGAAGGGAGAGGAAGAGAGAAACATCAATGTGAGATGGAAACATCAATTGACTGTCTTCTGCATGCCCAATACCAGGGATCCAGCCCGAAACCCCAGCATGTGACCTGACAGGAATCAAACCGGTAACCTTTCATCACACAGGATGATGCCCAACCAACTGAGCCACACTGCCCAGGGCAGAACATACAGTTTTAAAGATAAAAGAAGTAAAGTCACACATGGAACTGAATTTACTTATAAAGGAAAGGTAGCTGTTTTTTCCTAACTGTATTTATTTTAGTAAATGAACATTGTTTTTAAAAATCAATGGAATTAGAAATAAGAGTTATAGTAGCTTTATATTATGTAATATCTTACTTTATAGTTTCAATGTGGGGTACACAGTGTTTATGGTCTGCTTCTGTTTTAGTTTTATATTATGGAAATTATAAATAAAAGTTGATTTTTTCAATGAAAATTAATCACATCATAAAAATTATTATTGACTATAAACAAATGAAGTCATATCAGAAGATATTAGACACTATTAATCTGCTCAGGCCGCATAATAGAATACCACAGACTGGGTAGGTTAAACAAGAGAAATTTATTTTCTCACAGTTCTGAAGGCAAAAAGTCCAGGAAAAAGGTACCTGAAAATGTGGTTTCTGGTGAGACCTTTCTTTTGGGTTTGCAGATAGCCGTTTCTTGCTGTGTCCTCACATGATCTTTTCTCTGTGCTCCCACAGAAAGAAAGGGTGAGGAGGAGATGTCTGGTGTCTCCTCCTTTTTTATAAAGACACCAGTTTTATTGGCTTAGGGATCAATCTTTATGACATCATTAACATAATTACATCCCTAATGGTCCTATCTCCAAAAACAGTCACACTGAGGGTTAGGACCTCAACTTTCAAACTTTTGGGGAACACAATTCAGTCCATAGCAGATACAAATGACAAGAAACATTATGCATATTATTTCACATATAGCAATAAAAAATTTATTGTAAAATATAACCAATTATACATTTTTTATAATACAACACATATTGCATTGCTATGGGGCTGAACTGTGTCCCCCTAAAAGTCGTATGTTGAAACCTAACCCTCAGTAGTTTAGAATGTGACTATTCAGAGTTAAGGCCTTTAAGATGGTGATTAAGGTAAAATGAGGCCGCTAGCGTGGTCCCTAATCCAACCTGACTAGTGCTTATAGGATGAAATTTGGACACACAGAGACACGAGGGGTATGCACACACAGAGGAAAGGCCATGTGAGAACAAGAGAGACGGTGGCCATCTGCAGGCCAAGCAGAGAGGCCTCAGAAGAAACCCAATCTACCTGCACTTTGATCTTGTACTTCCAGCCTCCAGTCTGTGAAAAAAATAAATCTGCATTGTCTAGGCCACTCAGTCTGTGGTACCTTGTTAAGGTAGACCTAGCAAAGTAAGATAGGTAGGATGGAATAAATGTCTTAATAATTAAAAGTCATTCTTGAGAGTTCACAGTTTAATATTACAAATAAAGTTCAATGTATAACATTCCTAGTATTCGCCCTAATTTTCTCCAGCTTGACTCTCTCATTGGTTACATCTTCCCTCCTGGAATGCAAATGCTTTACTTTTTCTTTCTTTACCCCTTAATTTTGTATTTCACAAAATTTTTCTCTTTCTTATTAAACTGTCTGAGACTCAGTTTCAAAGTTGTATTCCTTTTAGCACAGGAGCTCAAAAAGCAAAGCTCTGTGAAAGAAAATGTTAATAAATATTGAATGACCATTGGACCATTCTGCGCTGTCAGCGACCTGGGTGTTAAGAGACACCAGAATAATGAGGTGCGGTTCCTGCCCTCAGGCTCCCATGCTCACAAACCCGTGGGGTACACAGACTCAGGGATGAGTCAGTGGTGTGCTCTTTTCCTTAAATGATAGAAGCTTTCTCATCCCACCCAGATTGGGTGCAGAGGAGCAGAGGGAAAGTGCAGGTTTGAATCTTCACATATCCTAATCTCTTCTGATGTGAACAGTCTCCTTATGGTAATTCTGTTCTTTGGGATAAACAATCAAAATTTCAGACTTCTTTTACCCACTGCCAGATGGCATCTGTGGAGAGGTAGATTTAACGTCAAGTAAATAAAGCTGTCACTTCAGGTTTCCTCATTTTCATGAGTCACTTCCAAAGCCATGTACCTAATTTTTGTATTTTTATTTTGATATTATTTTATAAAGGAGGAATTTCCAAATTGTGGAAGGCGTCTCAGGACATGGGGCATTCCTGCATTTGGGCTTACATGGCATAGGTGAAAGGGACTCCTGTATCTGTATGTGAAGGTCTCTACTTTTCTGGATGTTCAGTCTCTGTGGCAATGTCCCCTCTCTGCCTGAAGCCCAGTTACCATGTGGGCATCTGCTGCTGAGGCCTGAGTTGGGGATCCTGTATCTCTCCTCCTAGCTCCATCAAGGACCAAGAGGTCCCTCCTAATTGATGCGGCCACTCTCCAGTCCTCATACATTTGTCATTCATATTGTGGTTTCAGAGTCAGCCACCCTCCTGCATCTTTATTTGCCAACCCAGCATCCTATAACAGGCTGCCTAGGTCCTTCCCTCAATCACCTACAATGACTTAGAAACTTCTAGATCTCTTCCAAGTGACAAGAAACTCAAGCTAGTTTGAGCTATTACCATGATAGTGAGAATCTAGGAAATGAAGAAAAACTATTTTGTTCAGTACCATTTCTAATTTTTAAGACCACAGTATAGCTTGGAGCTGAAAAAGTCTGATCTAGAAATTTAAAAAGCTGAACACTAAATCTTTCATTTCTATTTCTGATATAATTGTCCTCTTCTACATCCATCCCTATTCCTGCTAAGGTAGATAAAAATACCTGGCCAACTATGGGGTAGAGTCCACACACAAATAAGCCAAACCATTTTTCAAAATATATTAACCCTGATATATACATAATTGCAAGTAAAAAATATTATTTTAGTGATACAGGAGCATGGAAGATGCAGTATTAACGCTACCTATGGATGTGGGGAGTTCAAGTGGACAATGATACTACAAATGTAGGCAAAAGAAGTGCTAGATATTCACCAACACTCTTACAGTTTCAATGAGCATTGTTTTTCTATTTCTTGGCCACTTGCCATTTAATCTTTGCAGGGGAATATAAACATAATGATGACAAATATTTTGCCTATATTTTCTATCAACAATTTAAGGGAAGTTTCACCTGCTATTTTAATATAAAAAGGCTTTAACTCTGCAGACTAAAAGTTCACAGCGCTCATAACCTGAGATTATACTAACAGTAACCTGAAGAATAAATTACTGTTTACATCCCTTTTTTGTTCAATGGGTTTTATACTTGGATTGTATGAGGATTATCAAAATAAAGTCTTGGACCAAAAGTATCACGCCATCCCAATAATTTGGATGCATGCTAAAGTTTGAGAATGATTGCCTTAGATTATAAATTCATTAGGTCATGAAATGTTTATTTGCCATTTTTTCCAAGATATATATTATAGGGTTCTGTATATTGTGGAAACTTAGTAAATATTTTCTTAAAAAAACAATATCAAAATCTATCTAGCTATATACCTATCCATCTACTTACTTATCTATCTAGCTAAGTTTTAATTACATTTTTGTTTGTTTGTTAATCTTTACCCGAGGATACTTTTTCTATTGATTTTTAGAGAGAGTAGAAGGGGAAGAGGGATAGGGGTTAGGGGAGAGAGAGAGAAACCTTGATGTGAGAGAGACACATTGCACATTGACTGGTTGCCTCCAGCATGTGCCCGAACCCGGGCCGGGGATGGAACCTGCAATCCCGGTAGGTGCTCTTGACTGGGAATCGAACCCGAGACCCTTCAGTGCTAGAGCCAATGCTCTAACCACTGAGCAACACTGGCCAGGGCATAATTACATTTTTAAATTAACACACCCCTGCTCTTACCTGAGAAAGTCAAGAACTGAAGAATGTTGCATATGGAGTTGAATGACCTTTTCAGTGTAATCCACAGGTAAAGATTGACTAGGATTAATTCCATCAGGCATTATTCCACTCAAGTGGCGTATCACATCATAAATGGTTTTAGTATATCTTAAAAAGTCATTTGCTTTGGAATGCTTTTGGTCTAATGAGATTGAGCCGAAGGCTTGCATTTTACTCACATCCCTATGGGAAAACAATTTGAAAGATTTATTTAAATATCAAAATGCTACATTATGGAAAAAATGTGTCCAATGACTAAATAAAATTCTATTCCAAACCAAAACTAAAAGAAATTACAAAACTCATTTATTCAGATACCATTTGATAGTAAAAATTGGATTTTTTAATAACCCCAGAGCTTGACAGCATCTAGTTTTAAACACATATCATTATCTAATGTTGCAATTGTCAAGTCTAAAAGATTAGATTGTGATTAGAAAATGTAAGTGCCTGGGCTAAAGAGTATAGGGGTTAAATCCTGGGCCCATCACCTACTAGCAGCGTAATTCATTGAACTCAATTTTGTATGCTATAAATTAAAGATAACAATGCCTATAATGGTTTCCAAGATATATTTCAAACATTCTTCACACATGTTTAAACAAATTTATACACATTTTCTCAGTATTTGTCTCTTAATACTTAGAAAGGCACATCTTGCACACTGGTCTCCTGAGTAGAAATTCTCATTTTAAAGATAAAGTCTAGAGATCTATTGTTCCCAGGTATTTCTGTTCTTTAAACAGGACAATGCAATCTCTATTTCCTAACAACTCCTGTACCAAGTTGTGATATATGCTAATTTTTAAATGGAGTAAAAAATTCCAACCAATATTGCTGTCTACAGTTTGTCAGATATCTAATACTATACTATTTGTTTGCTAATAATCCATCACAAATCTATCACTAGCTTAGACTGACAAATACAAAGTGCCCAAGGGGTCATTTTTAAAGGAAGTTCTCAAGTTTGCTAGCTAGTAGGTCTGTATTGCATATTACAGGAGAAAAAGGATTGATTTAGGTTCGGGTTTGACTACTACTGTTCAGACTCTGGCTCTGCCACTTACTCTGTGACTTTATGGAAGTTACCTGACCTTTCTTTCCTCAGCTTCATCTTAAGTTATGTATGTAACGAAGCTAGTATATCCTGAAGTTACCAATAAAGGAAATAAATATTTCATGGAGAAAATTAACACTATCATAGGCCTTACAATATTTCTACCAAAAATTATGAAAAAAATAAATGACCTAAACAGAATTAAAAAATAACCATACACTGATTAAATAAGAAGGAGAAAAAGCAACAAGATGAATGCAAATGGAAAGAAATAGTAAACAATATAAATAGACACATAGGGGGCCCAGATATTAGAGTTGTAAGAAACAGATTTTAAACTAACTGTATGTACTATGTTTACAATTAAGAATTTTATTACTTAACTATAAATTATATAAAAATTTACTAAATAGAAAATTTAGAATTAAACAAATCCTATAAGTAAAATTAAGACAGCAATGAATGAGTTTAGCAGCAGATTAAATCAAATGAAAAGAGTATTAATGCATTGGAATATAGGCCATAGGAAAGTATCCATACTACAATATAGAAGGACAAAAAGATGGGAAGACAGTTTATAATTTAAGGGACAAAGTATTACTACGTATAAAGAGAAGACATTCTATAGGCATAAAAATTTCAATCCATAACACAGGTGTTACAATTGTACATTTGAATGCACTTGGTACAGCTCAAAACTTATAAAGCAATAATGACTGAATTTTTAAAAAAAATTCAAATATACAAATGTAAGTAGAGATTTTAACAACTTTACCCTAGTAATTAATAATTTAAAAATCATTAAGCATATATATTATTTAAAGAGTATAATAAGCAAACTTAGTGGAAATGTACATACATGGAAAACAGATTTCAATAACTACAAAATACACAGTATTTTCCAGTTGAATGTTTATAAAAACTAAATAAATGATGGCCAATAAACAAATGTCAAAAAATTTCAAAGAGGATGGTCTCTGACCTCAATAAAATTAAGCTGAACATGAACAGTAAAATCACCAAATGTAAGCTTCTAAGTGACCTTTGTAAAAATAAAACATGTTGGAAAATAGAAAAAAATGAGTGGGATGAAAAAATATATTACTTATAAAAATATGCAATTCAGATAAAGCTAAATTTAGAAGAAAATTTATAGTTTAAAACTTAAATATTTTCATTATGAAAATTCATGACCACTAGAAATAAAAATAAACTTAATAAACTGGTAAAGGGTTTCTATAAAAAGCATATAGTGAACTTCATACTTAATAATAAATGTTGAAAGGTGTTCTCCCTATGATTGAGATTAAGAGGGGAATGTCTACCCTTCAGTATTTAACTAGAGAACCTAGCCAATGTAACAAGGTAAGAAAAATAAGTCAAAGATGTAAGGACTGAAAAGGGAAAAAGTGATTACTTGCAGATAATGTGTTTTTAGAAAATACCAAAAAAAATCTACAAGTAAATCAGAATTAGTAAATTGCCTTAACAAAGCAGTTGGATAAATGTCAGCATATGATATTCTACATTATTTATATTAGATATAGAAAAACAGAAAATAAAATTGGGAAAAAAAATGCCATTGACCGTATCTTCAAAACATATTGAATACCCAGAGATAAACCAACCAAAATATGTGCAAGAACTTAAATGAAAATTATAAAGCATCACTCAGATAAACTTTGAATGATCTTTGAGACAATATGGATGGACCTGGAGAGTATTATGCTAAGCGAAATAAGCCATTCAGAGAAAGACAAGTATCACATGATCTCACTTATATGTGGAATGTAAAGAACAAAATAAGCTGATGAACAAAACAGATCCAGAGACACAGAAGCATGGAACAAACTGACAAATCTCAGAGGGAAAGCGGAGGTAGGTGGGTAGGAAGAGATTAACCAAAGAACTTACATGCTTATATGCATAACCCATGGACACAGATAATAGTGTGTTAAAGTCCTAGGGCAGGGGGCGGGTGTGGGGTAGAAGGGATCAATGAGAAAATAAAGGGGACATCTGTAATACTTTCAACAATAAAGATAAATTAAAAATAAATAAAATAAATAAACATATCCTCAGGTGAAGATTTAAATAAATAAATAAATAAATACATACATACATACATACATACATACATACATACATACATACATAAATGAACATATAAGCTCCTTTTTGATCAAGGAAACATTGTAAAGATGTCATTTCTTTCTAAATTTATCATAGACAAAATTCAGTAACAATCAAAATAACAGTAAGGTACCATCTTTAGCAGACATTTATAAATGATTTTAATATTTATATAAAATGCAAATAGCATAAATCGCTAAGAAAATATTTGAGAACAATAAACTTTTGACTACCTACACTACTAGATATCAAGAACTATAAAGTGATAAAACTTAAGACAATTTTTATTGATGCAAAAGTACAAATTGATCAAAGGAATATACTACAGTTTCACAACTATATGAATACTTGGCTTATGAAAAAGGAGGCACCGTAGAGTAGAAAGAAAGTAGAAAGGATGGTCTATTCCACAAGTGGTATTCAGTCAATTGGATATCCATATTTTAAGAAATAAAGAAAAATAAAATATACTTTAGCCTTTATCTAACAATATATACAAAAGTAAATTTCAAAAGGGCAAAATATCAAACATGAAAGACAAAACAAGAAAGCTGCAAGGAATAACAAAACAGGCTATCTTCGTGTCTCAGGGAGAAAAAGATTTCTTAAAGAGCAGACAAAAACAATAACCATTAAGTTAAAATTAGTCAAAAATTAGACTATATTAAAATTATGAAGAAGATATTTGTAATGCATAAAACCAATAACAAACTCACATACAATATTCATAAAATTCCTCAATTCAAATCACACCTACCAAAAAGAGATAATATTGGCCCTGGCTGGTGTGGCTCAATTGATTGGAGCATCATCCCATAAACTGAAAGGTTTCAGGTTCAATTCCCAGTCAGGGCACATACACAGGTTGCAGGTTCGATCCCCAGTCGGGGCGCATGCAGGAGGCAACAAATCAATGTTTCACTCTCACATAGATCTTTCTCTCTTTCTCTCTTCCTCTCCCTTCCTCTCTCTATAAAATCAATAAAAGCACATCCTCGGGTGAGAACTAAAAAAAAAAAAAAAAAAAA